GTATTTTCAAAGACGCCGCAGTAAAACGAATAAACACGTGCAAAAAACGATCAAACCATCAAGGTTTTAGGTACTGAAATCTACGAAAATACTAACTTTTTTATATATAATTCCACATGTAAATATTCTTATAACATTTACTTGCTTAGTCCTACATATAAAATTGTTTACTTTTATTTATAAGTATGTGAAAATAATTCTTAATATGTGGGGTTAGAATAACAGCAAACGCATGTTTTACAAACGCTTTTTTTAGTTATTATTTTATTTGAGTAAATTTAAATGGTAACAAAAAATAATATAAAACATAATAAACAAAACATCCAAGTATTTTATTTTTGTGCTTACTTTTGTTCTACACGTTTTACTTTTAAAGATTTCAGTACCTAAAAACGCCAGAAATTTCACTATTTCTCGGCCAGGAATATGGCCACCTAAAGACAAAAAGTTTATAAACATTGGTCCACAGATGCTTCGTTTTCAAGACAGAGGATGTTAAACTTTTGTAAAAAAATTGCTATTTTGTAAATATCTTAAATACCCTTTACCCAATTTTGTTGTAATTTGGCAGTGTTATACGTACTTTATGTTATTTAGATGTTACATGTTATTAATAAAAAAAATGATAATTTCCAAAAGAAACTTTTCCCCATGTTTCTAGTGGTCCAGGGATATGCAATTAAGTGGATTTTATTTTTTTTCTACAAAAATGAATCAAGATACGAAAAACATTCAAGAGACAAGAAAGTTGTACTTTTAGTTGCTTAATTCAAAAAATGTATAAAAATTACAAAAAAGTCAGTGGCATACTTTTTTTTTATAAAAAATATTCGTTAAGGTACCGCTTGGGACGCCACTGGACTTAATAAATCTAATCAAGTTGGAGTTAAATTAGCCTCTTAACACTACAAATAACTGCCAAATTACAACAAAATTGGGTAAAGGGTATTTAAGATATTTACGAAATAGTAATTTTTTTTACAAAAGTTTAACACCCTGTATCTTCAAAACGAAGTATCTGCGGACTAATGTTTATATGAACTATTTGTCTTAAAATCATTCAAATAATCGTCTGTTCAATTTATTGTACATAGTTAATTAACAACCTTTATATCACAAGCAAAAATATATAATAAATATGTTATTATCATTATTCCATACTTACCATTCTGCCATGGTCTTTTCAATGTGCCTGAAAAAAAAAATGCTTAATACATTTTTTGAAAAAATTATTATATCCTATTATGCAAAACAGTAAAACTAATATAGAGTGTGAGAATTAAGTATTATCTTGCTCCACTGGCAAGAAAAACACTTGGAATGGTCAATTATTTATTTTTATTATGATTAAAGCATATTTTGATGCAAAAATGTTTTCCTTGTATCAAAAATTTAAGTGCAGTGGTCTACGAAACATAAAAGTCTTTTACATCCTAATGCAGCTGCCATTTGGTAATAATATCAGTTCCATTTTTTCTAGCTATACCTCGTACTTTTATTACTATTAACAATGGAACTTATATATTTACATAAGACGAAATCTGTAAAAGTTAAAATAACTATGCTTTAAATAAATAATGTTCTTATTACTCTTATTACAGAATAAATGACACTATCAGAAATAAGAAGCCAAATAGGCATTTTAAAGCCTCTGCGAGTAGAGTACGATGTTATACAGGTCGTAAACATAGCAGTCGATATTAGGTCAATAGACTATGTCGAAAAAAAGAGGGTACAAAGGAACTACAACATAACAGAAATTTTATTGTTTGATATGTTCAATTGACCCTAAAAAATGATAAAACCGCGGAGTGCTACCTATTAAAGGGGTGCGTTTTTGAGAATGAAGTAAAAAGGTGGTATTTTCAGTTTTTTAAGTTTTACTCGAAAACTATGAATTTTTTCTAAATAATTGTCAACAGAAAAGTTGTAGCAAATTGAATTTCCAATCGAAATGAGTCTTTTTGAAGTCAAAAAAAATATTTTTAACAAAAATATGTCCAAAAAACGAGTAAAAAAAACCCGAAAAAATGCGTTTTTTTTCTTTTTAGTTTTTGGCCCACACCTTTTTTCTGAGAGGAGTTAGGTATAGGCATGCTTCACAGAAAAAAAAGTTAATATGTTTTCCTTTAAAATAAGCCTTTATAGAAGTACCTACGACTAGTAGAAACCGAGATACATTGGATCAAAGTTGGCTACTTTTTGGATTTTTGGCCAATTTTTGCCCTTTTTTGACGATTTTCGTCTTATAACTTTTTTCTGAGTTAATTTAGGTAATGCCATATTCAAATGAAAGCTGGTTTCAAGACCTTTAAAATGGTGCCTGGTAGAAGTTTGTACAATTAAAATCAACCGAGATATGTCAATTTAACCAACGATACTTTTTTCTTTTTATAAAATTTTTATTACTTTCGGTATTATTTTGTCTAATAAATTTATTTTTGTGAATATGAAAATTAAAATAAGTTTCTAGGTGATTGGAAACAACAGTTAATCATATATATCTTATAAATTTTCAGTTTCATTTAGTATATTTTCAATATTAATATCAATTCCGTCGTTTGGCCAAAAATCCAAAAAGTAGCCAACTTTGATCCAATGTATCTCGGTTTCTATTAGTCGTAGGTACTTCTATAAAGGCTTATTTTAAAGGAAAACACATTAACTTTTTTTTCTGTGAAGCAGTGCCTATACCTAACTCCTCTCAGAAAAAAGTTGTGGGCCAAAAACCAAAAAGAAAAAAAAACGCATTTTTTCGTTTTTATTTACTCGTTTTTTGGTCATATTTTTGTTAAAAATATTTTTTTTGACTTCAAAAGGTCTCATTTCGATTGGAAATTCAATTTGCTACAACTTTTCTGTTATTACAACAGACAATTATTTAGAAAAAATTCATAGTTTTCGAGTAAAACTCAAAAAACTGAAAGTACCACCTTTTTACTTCATTCTCAAAAACGCACCCCCTTTAAAAGGTAGCACTCCGCGGTTTTATCATTTTTTAGGGTCAATTGAACATATCAAACAATAAAATTTCTGTTACGTTGTAGTTCCTATCTAAAGTACATAGTCAATAGCCTATATCAACATTTCAAGAAGAATGTGCAAAACAGACATGTAAAAACAATAAATATATATTTCTTTATGTAAATGAAGTTTAGTTCCCACTCCATCCTTTAACTTTTTATATGTAGTGTGCAGTCTCATATTTGTGCATCTCACCAGCCAGATTAAATAAGTTGAACTTTGTTTTAACAGACATTTCCATACTCTTTCTTGATACATGGCAACATGGCTTTCAGATCCATATCCCATTCTCAATTACTATATTTATGTTAAATAGTTTCCATCTCTTTTTTAATAATAAATTTGTTATTTTTTCAAATATCGAATTCATTTATAGTGATTTTCACATACATCTGTTTTAAATAGCAAATCGTAATAATTTCAAAAATAATCATGTTTATGTCATCATATTTATATACACAGTGAATATGTTTGGTCCCATAAAAAAGTGTGTGCAGGATCTAAAGTGGATTCACGTCTCAATTTCCACTTAAATATTTTTATAACTGTCAAAGTTATACTGGGTGTTCGGAAATAGTGGTACTTCATTTTGAGGGTAGATTTGTTGATTCAAAATAAGACAAGAATTTTATATAAACATGGGTTCGCAGATCCACCCTACGGGAGGTAGGGTGGATCTGTGAAACATCCCAAAAAAACTGTCCAAAGTTTTATTTATTTACATTATTGGTTAGGTAATTGACAGTGAAATTATTACATCAAAGTAAGATTTTATCAAATAAACAAATCAACCTGTTCAAGTGTTCTGCTTTTTTTCACGTATCAAACAAAAAAATCAAGATGAGTTAAAAACAACTTTAACTGGTATATATATTTTTTTTAATCCTATGAAGCTATTTACAGTTTTATTACATATTACAAAATCAGGGCCGGCAGAAGGGGTGAAACAGCAAAGCAGATGTTTCAGGCATCATTTTTTTAACAGCAGCATTTTAAGATTTGATTATTAATTTTTTATAAATTTCAGAATTTGAAAATTGCTCAAAAATGTAAAAAAAATTTTTTGACCCCGAATGCGTGGTTTTTCCTGTCTGTGGCCAATGGAGAACGTTCTTTTTCAAAATTAAAAATTATAAAAAATTATTTACGATCAACCAAAGCACAGGAACGGTTAACAGACTTAGCTATCGAGAAAGATATAACAAATAAGTTGGTTTACGATATTATTGAAGACTTTGTTAATGAAAAATGTAGAAAAGTTGATAAGTGATGTGTAAAGATCCCGTTTTGACATTTAATTTTTTTTTGTTTTTATTGAATATTTTTTATTTCTGGTTTTATTGGAATATCTGTTTTATTCTTTATACGATGTTTCTTATAATTTCTGTTTGTTTTATTGAAATGTTTTTTTTATTTTTCATAATTTTTATCAATACATTGGTTATTTGTTCCAACAGTAGTAACTTGTATATATTTTTTCTTAGAGCGCAAACAAATATTTGCTTCAGGTGCCAAATACCCTGCCACCGGCCCTGTACAAAATAGTACTTCTTGCAGTTAGCTTGTCGGACTTGACAACTCTACTTTGTTCTTGCTCATTGATTCGATAATGCAGCTGTGGGAATATGATACTACCCCTCCTATGATTTTTAAACTTTAAAAAACTGTTTTTTTAGGGATTATCTTGATAAAGAAAAAATCCACATTGTACAAATACTGCTAATTTGAGATTAAACTGAAATTTGTGAAAAAAGTCCAGTAAAAAAAATTAACGTTTATAATAATTTAATTAAAGAATCTAATCTAATTTGATTTGATGATTTCAAACTGTCCAAAGTTTTAGGGGATGTTAGGTCGTCCGCGGCCATGGGGCGCAGGATCGACGTCATCTGATCTAAGAAAAGGTGCCTCAAGGAGATAATTCTTTGCCTAAACTGTTATAATCGGATAATACAAGTGGTACCTAGATGTAATAAACAATAATGATAAATATGTAATAAATCATATCTGAGAGCGTCGATCCTAATGCACCCTGAACCCTGATGGCCTACAAACGTAAAAATTGTTGGGCCCTTACTTCAACTTATCTGTTAGCGTAGCTTATAAACTCAATGGCTGTAAATTACATTAATTTTTTTTTTTTTTAGAAACAATTTATTTTTAGGCAGATGCATCTTGATTGTATGTTTGAATTGCAATACTTATTTGTACCAATAGAAGACGTCACCGATAATATCTAACCTACCTTTTCATGTCTTTAACTGCATTGTTGTTTGTTGCCAGTAATTTTTGCCAGTACTCCACTAACTGTAATGCCTTCATTAAATTTAATGCATAAAATGCAGACTTCTGTTTTTCTTCACACAAAAATTTTAAATTCAGCTAAAAATTACTGTTGTTCATTTTTTTATAATTAATAAATTGTTATACCAACCAAATATTCTTTTAACTGTATAGAATAATGATGCAACTCTGGATGTTCATATGTCAAAATAAAATTTTGTGTAATGAGTTGAACATGTTGTCTCATTTGTTGCAGCAAAAGGGGAATTTGGCTTCGTTTTATGAAATTATCTTCCTCTTCTTCAAAATTGTCCGATTCATTAATTACAACCTGTTTAAGAATGAAAATATATATGCAATAAAATATCGAAAATTACCTATATTAACATTTTTAAAAATACACGTTTTAAAAAGGCATGACAAAAGAATTTGATAGAGACTTTATAGTTAGTTGGAGGGTTTACTATCTGATTTGAGGGCTACCGATTGTCATAGTACTGTACAAATATTCTTATAGTACAATATTTCAGTTATTTTGTTTTGTTACATTTGTTTTTTGTTTGGTAATAAGAAACTAAAAAGGTTTATATCTTTTATTTTTTTTTTCTGTAAATTTCATTTTTTTCATTTACCTATAACATTAAATCATATTTTTTTTATGGTAGGTATAGATACTTTATATTTTTTTCCAATTTTAGAAATCTGTACAAAATTTTCTTTTAAAAGATTGTTAAACAAGGTATTTGTCATAAAAAAATTTAATAAACAGTAAAAATTAAATATAGGCTGTGTTCAGCGAATGGTTGGACCGGTCAGTTGTTGTCAGACAAACATTTTGATGGTCAGCTTAATCAGCTGATTGGGAATATTGGGCAGGTTTTAATACAATTACTAAAGACCATTCAGCAAATTGTTTGACTATAGAAGTTTGACCAAACTAATCCGACGATTAGCTGAACACAGCCATAGTAACCCATTGAATGCGTCCTTTTTTCCCAAGTTCCCACCAGTACACAGTGGGAAATATTGGAAAAAATTTGAGCCACGCCTCAAAACTACATAATCAAATACTTAGTACTGATTTTTTTTATTCTTTCCGAAATTACCTGTACTGTATAGTTCCGGTGAGTTAATTGGAATATATGCCTAGAATTTTTTCAAAATGGCCGAGTAATCTCTAGCCTCAATCTCGATCATACATGATCTAGCCTCAATGTCGATCATACGTTTGACATTCTGTGCAAAACCATACTTATCGTATCAACTTCGACGTCACCTGTTATGTGGGTGTTGTATAATAATTAAAACGTAATATTGACAGTTAGTAGAAGGAAGCACAAAAACAGGCGCTTTGGTGGGGAGTTCTGAAAGGAAGCCTAGATAGTTGAGTTGAGAACAGCACAGAGTGAAAAGTAAGACGATCGGTGCACGGTGAAAATATATAAGTAGTGAAAAATTAAGTGTTTAATAACCGGTATTAATTAGCAGGTAACATTCTTTAAGTACTTTGTTGTTAATTGTTCTATGTAATCTTATGCTTGTGATGATTATAGATGTTTCATGATAAAAATTCTGTGTATGTTTAGCCTTCATTGTCTTATGCTCAGGGGAGTATATTCTAAGATAAAATTGTTACAATTATTATTAACGATTGCTCATTATTTATTACATGTTAAAATATGTATATATTGTCGTGACTGCCCGGATATTGCAATAACAACTCCTTTGTTTCACATTTAACTTGTTTTGTCATGATTATGTTTTTCGAAAAACAAGTAATAAAACATTTCTTGTGCTCACTTTATGTCAAGACGCATATAAGGGCCTTGTCGAATTTACTAACATTTTCGCCAGTGAGGAATGAATCTGTAAAAAGAATAATTAAATACAAAAAAAAGAATTGCTCTGGGTTGTCTCCCGTATGGGACTCCAGTACCTTACTTATTATTATTATTATTATTGTTATTATTGTTGTTAATATTGTTGTTGTTATTATTATAACATCTTCCCGAAATCTCAATTCATTGCTGGATTGCCTCCCGTATGGGACTCCAGTACCTTACTTATTATTGTTGTTATTGTTGTTGTTATTATTGTTGTTATTATTACCTTCCGGCCCTGCCGGCTAACTAACACCAAACCTCTTCAGTTTTACTTGGAAGTGTGTATGTCTAATTCGAGTGAGGTGACATTTAGTGGCACATTAAATAAGTCAGGTCTTAATTATCATTAGCAAAGGACTTAATGTATGCCGTTTGTTAGCGGTTGTTTTGTATTTATATTTGGGTAGTTAGAGTAACGATCGTGGGTTTCTTTGCCATGCTCTTTCCCCACAAGAGCTCTAGGTGAGCCTGGCACTCTCATTTTATGTTAAATGATTGTTAATGTTTTTGTTGTTCTTTCTATGTGTCACATGTTTAATTTGAAGACTGTTGTACTTAAATAATAAAGTTAGGTGTATTTACTCTGCTTTTGTTTTATAAAATTAAACCATACTTCCCCTCTTTAAAGTTAGTAGCCAGCACCTTTCGGTGAATTAAAAATAGATGTATACAATGTAGGTATTCCTTATGATGATCACATATGTTTGGCCACAACTATTTATTTTCTTTTTTTCGATCGTACCCAGGGTTGTTATACTACAATATTTGGTTTCTAAAAATGATAAAAAAAAGGAAAATTATGTACTAAAGGATGCCAAACAAAAGAAAATCATAAACATTAAACATATTCCTAAATCATGAATCTAGACCCAAAACATAACCTGAAATTTATAAATCTTAACCTAAAACGAACATACTCAATTTATTCTAAACCGGTGAGTGAGAATCCATAAAAATATTTTTGCACAACTTTAACTCAAATTCATAGGAAGCTGACCAGGAAACCTGAATACCTAACCTCAAATCCAAAATAATTAAGTTAAAAATCCACAAAAACAATATATTTTCTTCAACAAAGGATATCATTGCTTCAAAAAGACATTCTGCAATATGTTTTCCTGTGCATATCTATAATTTAAACTCATAAAACGTAACCTTAAAGGACTAGAACCTAACCTCAAATGTTTAAAATTTAAGCTAAAAATAAAAAAGCAAACAAACCAATCCATTTTACGAAAAAAAAAATTCTTGCAACTGTGCCTTGTTTTCATTTTTAGCTTAAATTTTAAACATTTGAGGTTAGGTTCTAGTCCTTTAAGGTTATGTTTTATGGATTTAAATTTAGGTATGCACAGGAAAACATATATTGCAGAATGTCTTTTTGAAGCAATCATATCCTTTGTTGAAGAAAATATATTGTTTCTGTGGATTTTTACCTTAATTATTTTGGATTTGAGGTTAGGTTTTCAGGTTTCCTATACTCCGCGGTCGAAATTATAGAGAGTGACTCATCACTAGCTTTTGGACTAGTAAGGGGGATGAAACGTGCCGGGAACGAAAATCCATTGGCGTGTCTGCGTAAAAGGCAACAAGATATAGAAAATATTGAAAAAGATAATAAAACATAACATCTAATATTTTTTTACGGTTTGCTATAACCGGCACTTTGATGCATTTTAATTATTACAGCATTTTAAAACGTGCCAGTTGTGTTTTTTTAATTTATAAATTTATTATAGCCATGGAATTAGACCCCTTGTCTACACTTATGCTATGACGTTTCTCAGGACGGGTAAATCAAGTCCGTTTACACCAACTAAAAAAGCATTTCCCTATTCCCTATCAAGTGCAAAAGACAGAGATAGAATATAGATCGACGTTCAGTGTAATTCAGTCTATAGACGATTATAGATTCTATCGATGTGCGTAGCGAGCGGCACAAAGATAAATAATATTGAACCGTATAAAAATCATTTTATATTTTATACGCATTATGGTAATATTGTTTTTATATTATGTCTGAATCACTCTCTATAATTTCGACCGCGGAGTATAGTCAGATTCCTATGAATTGAAATTAAAGTTATGCAAAAATATTGGTTGCACTCTCAAAAGTACCATTTTTATGGATTTATACTGACAGGTTTAGAAAAAATTGAGTATGTTCGTTTTAGGTTAAAATTTATAAATTTCAGGTTATGTTTTGGGTCTAGATTCATGATTTAGGAATATGTTTAATGTTTATGATTTTTTTTTGTTTGGCAGCCTTTAGTACATAATTTTCTTTTTTTTTTTTCATTTTTAGATACCGAATATGTCAAACTTTGTATGATCGAGTTTGAGGCTAGTGATTACTCGGCCATTTTGAAAAAATTCTAGGCATATATTCCAATTACCTCACCGGAACTTTATAGTACAGGTAATTTCGGAAAGAATAAAAAAAAAATCAGTACTATTTGATTAGTTTTGACGCGTGGCTCGATTTTATTCAAATATTTCCCACTGTGGTGTACTTTCAAAAATAAAAATCTTTAAAACCAAACCCAATTACTTACTGTACATTGCTGGTTATATTAGAAAATTAAAGTGACTTTTCCTGAGGGAAAATCAGCCAGAAAATCTCAAGTGAGTATATCTGATGTACATCATGTACCCTGTGAAATAAAGACAAGCGAGACAGTCTCGCTTGACGTAGCCAATGGGTTAAGACCATTTTGGTCTAATAGATGGTAAAATGTGTAGATTCACATGCTTATTCACTGAAACATAGGCTAAATACTAGCTTACTATGTATCTGTACTAGTGATGTGAGTGAAAATATATAACAAATTGATATATATCAATTTTTGATACATATCAGCTATTATATATATGTTAATAGCTGATATATATCAATTTTCCCGCCATTTCATGAATAAAGCCAAATTTCAAACATAACCTTACATTTTAAAACTAAAAACTTGTGGTGTGGTAGGCTTGAGTTGGACTGTAGTAGCTCTTGGGTACCTGGAATATCTCCGTCAAAAATGAATATAAAAATCTGAAATTTTAGGGGTGTACTATAGATGGGAAGAACTAAGAGCGCACGTAATTTCAAGTCACCCCTTCCACCCTAGGGGGTGACGGGTGGTTTTTTTAGATGTACCCTACTCATTTTGCGAGTTTCGGATTCTATGCGTAAAACTACCCCCGAAAGCGCGTTCTTGCCGAATTCGCACAAAAACCAAACCACCACCCTCGTATGGATTTTGTCGTTTTTTCGATGAGCATTTTTCTCCTTCAAAAATAAATATAGAAATCTGAAATTTTAGGGGTGTACTATAAGTGGGGAGACCTAAGAGCGAACCTGATTTCAACTGGCCCTTTCCACCTTAGTAGGTGCAGAGGGGGTGAGGGGTGGTCTTTTAGACGTACCCCCAAGAACGCGTTTCTGGGGGTAGTTTTACGCGTACAATCCGAAAATCGCAAAATAAATAGGGTACGTCTAAAAAAAACCTTCACCCCACCCCCTAGGGTGGAAGGGGTGAGTTGAAATTACGTGCGCTCTTAGGTCTCCCCATTTATAGTACACCCCTAAATTTTCAGATTTTTAAGTACTACTTTAAAGCAGTTTCTTTATTATCATAAGTTTTTGATAATTTTTATTTCAATTTTTATCTTTAATTTTTTTTAAGTACGTATTGTGATATACAAAGACTAAATTTTCTTGTTCTAGAAATTTCCCATTTTTTATTTCTGGGTTGATAAAACTAAATTGCTAATAAACAGCGTACTTGCTTATAAACAGTCAGTAGCACGCAACAAAAATTAGAAGTCAGTATGATAAAAAAAATATAAAATTCCAATCTAAATATGAAAAAAAAAAAAGATCACTTGATAACTTTTCTTAAAGTTCATATATATGACATGTATTTGGTGTCAAATTAATCAGCAAGGCATTAGCAATATAAAAAAACTAATTTGAGTATAGTTTTTTTTTAACAAAATTCATCTGATATATATAATGATATATATTTTGATATATATCACCCAAAACTAAATAGCATGCTATTTTACATCACTAATCTGTACTAACCTATCTGTTAACTGTTAGTTTTTTGTTGGCCAATCTTCAAAATGGACAAAATTCGCAATAAGATTATGGAAGTTACAAAAAAAAATTCTTTCTCTAAAAAAAACTTAAAATTGTCATACAAGCTTACGCGACAGCAAAAGTAAGCTAGTTAGAAGTTCTCCATTTGAAACAACAAGTAAAAAATAGTGTTCTGTATCTTCTTAGTACAATGTACTGTGTTTTTACAGGTATCATGCAAATGTCGTTACAACTGCAAAACACCAATAGCAGAGTACAAACTATATTCAAAAAATCATATGCCTCTGATGAAATTGCTCAAAAAATTTATTTAATTCAGAGGTTTACGAAGCTTACGAAGATCCTAAAGAAAGCAACTGCTGATAAAGATAAATTTTTTATATTAAAAAACAAAAAAAAAGAATATTTGAGCCTGGACGAATGTAAAAAATCAAACAATGCTTTCATTTAATCTTCATTTCAAAATTATAGTATGCACAAAGAAAGTGGCTACTGTATTTTTCAGAATAAGATTAAAATTACATACCGTTACACTCTCGTTAGGAAGTACTTCCTCCTTTCTGTTATCTACACTTTTTGACCTCTCAGAATAATTTGGGGCTTCAGATTGATCATTTCCATTGCAATCAAAATTGCTATTTTTAGCTTTCTTTTCCATTTCAGGTAAATTACAAATTTCGGAACATTCAAGAAGTTCAGCTATTAAATCGTTAAGCTCTTTTCTAGTTACTTTGACAGCCTTATCGACTCTTAATTCTTCTTTATCTATTTTGTCTATTTCTTCGTCAGCTAATATATTATATTCCGGGTCTTGTTCCTCATCTTCAGTAGCTTTTGCAACTTCGTCCAGAGGTCTTGTGAACTTCTTAAGAAAATCCATCCAATCATCATTATCACAATGCATATCATACATATCTGTGGTAATATCAGGTGGTATAAAAGCTTCCTCAATAACTTCCAATGGTGTTGAACTGAGACATAGTTTGGATCTCGTACGACGCGCAATATTTGCTTCTTCCTCAACCTCTTCTTTCGATTTATTTGGGGGTATTTTAAAAACTCCATCATCGGTCCAATTTGTCTGTGTATAAGAATCAATGTTTGCTGAAGGAGTAGGTGGTGTTGGAGGTGGAACTGAAGGAGGGTCACTAATAATTGAACTGTCTCTATCATCTTCACTCTGCAAAATTAAAAGAAAAACTTAATATTAACTGTTTTCTTTAATTAAAACATACACAATTTTAATGGTAAAAATCACATTTGCAAAAATATCATCTACATGATCACTTTTCACCAAATGATGCACTTTTTAAAGAATGAAATATTTTTGTAGAAAACATAAACTAACAATTATTGTTAAACTGTCAAAAATTATTTAAAACAAAAAAACCTTATAAGCTCAGAAATGTGCGATACATAGTGATGTGTATTTTTTTAATTTCTAATTCTCTGCTTTCTTCAGTGCGAGTCTAATAATGAATTATCGCCACACATAGATCATGATAATACTATTTTATATTCTCCTCAGCATATACAGGGTGATTCATTAACAATGGGAAAATCGAAAGCTGAAGATACTACACGTGAAATGGTGACCATTGGTGCAAATATGCCTTATCCGAAAGTTGACAGTTTCGGAAATACAGGGTGTTGATAGTAAAAATTTTAAATCGTTTTTTTGCGATTATTCTGAAACATGTAGGTTACAAACTTGAAAATTTGTTAAACTATATTTTTTTAAGCGACGAATAAGATGCGTGTTGAAATTACAGCGTTGGTCATAGAGGGCGCCACTTACGACCTATTTTACCGAAAATTTTGTTAATAATTTTTTACCCTGTATGTCTAATATGAAACTTGATTCAAAACCTGAAAGAACAATAATTTTTCCATTAATTATGTACTCTTGTTTCATTTCAGTATCTCGATCCGTTTTTGAGAAAAATCGATTTAACGAACACTATGTTTTGATAATACGAGAAATTAAAAGCGAAACAAACTAAGTGTTTCTTCATGTTATTACAACAATTAATGATAAAACAATTGAAATATGTAATAATGATATAAAGTAATAATTGTTCAAAGAATCCACCGTTGACACTGATACACTTTACACAACGTTTTCTGAGATATCTTCAGGTTTGAAACAACATATTGGGATTGCGTCTGACTTTGCTGGCAGTGATTCGTATTCTTTGGCACAACTCTTCACACGAACCAATAGATTCTTTGTAAACTATATCTTTCATTCAAGACTAAAAAGAAAAATCAAGAGGATTGAAGTCCGGACTTCTAGTTGGACAAGCAAAAATGCTTACATGGCCAATCCAGCAATTTGGAAAAACCAGAAAGACCAGACTTCATCCTCTTGATTTTTCTATTTGGCCTCGAATGAAAGATATCGTTTAGAAAGAATCTATTGGTTCGTATGAAGACTTGTGGCAAAGAATACAAATCGCAGTCAATGAAGTCAGACGCAATCCCAATATGTTGTTTCAAACTCGAAGATCTCTCAGAAAACATTGTGTAAAGTGTATCAGTGTCAACGGTGGATTCTTCGAACAATTACTTTAACCCTTTCGCTGCGCAATACGTCTGAACGTAGCTACCGCGCCGTGCGCAATTGTTTATCGCGTGCGAATATATACGTCTGGAGCAGTTAGACCACTTATAGTTTTACGTTATGTTGTGTTAAATTACGATTTACGATAAATTTTACGATTTTATTTTGAATAAAATACAGTATATGTACTAAATAGAAACTGAAAGAAACATGAACAATCTTGGTACTATTACCAGTACCTCTTTCCATAAAAATATTTGTCACAATCGGTATAAGCTCGCCCGCAAAAATTTGCCTTACCAATTGCAATAACCGAGTCACTATGCACACGGTTGCGAATATATACGGTTTGAGCAGCCTGATCCAATTTAACTAATCATGCGAATTTATCCGTCTGGAGCAGTTTGAGCCCTATAAATTTTTAGCGAATATATACGTCTGGAGCAGTGAAAGGGTTAAATCATTATTACGTAGGTATTTCATTTGTTTTATTGTTAATTGTTGTAATAACATGAAGAAACACTTAGTTTGTTTCACTATTACTTTCTCGTATTATCAAAACATAGTTAAATCTATTTTTCTCAAAAACGCATCGAGATACCGAAATGAAACAAGAGTACATAATTAATAGAAAAATTATTGTTTTTCAGGTTTTGGACCAAATTTCATGTTAGACATGCAGGGTAAAAAGTTATTAACTAAATTTTCGGTAAAATTGGTCGTAAGTGGCGCCCTCTATGAGCAACGCTGAATTTACAACACGCATCTTATTTGTCGCTTAAAAAAATATAGTTTCACAAATTTTCAAGTTCCTAACCTACATATTTTCAGAATAATCGCAAAAAACAATTTAAAATTTTAACTTTCAACACTCTGTATTTCCGAAACTATCAACTTTCAGATAAGGCATGTTTACGCCAATGGTTGTTAATGAATCACCCTATATATTGCACAGATGGCCAGGTTTTCTTAACACAATTCTCAAACAAGTACTGTACTGTAAGTTTATTATTATTCATATGACAAAAAAAAAAAAAAACTTGGTTAAAGAACTTTGGTCAATGGCCATTTGGTTTATCCAGGTTTTTTATTTAAAACAAAAAAATTATTATAATGGATATATTTTTGATATATATATACACATTTTTTTTTAATATAAACATACTTTAATTTTTTTAGAAGACTGTGGATTCAATCTGATCAGGTGTGACTGTCCCTAATATTGCAAACACGCCTATGTGAATGCTTCTGCATGATATTGCAACAATGCATTGCTAATAGAATGCTCCCAGTACAATGCCTGTTTGGGGAAGCCTTAATAAAGAATGAGTACCTACATATCAAATATTACTAATACAAATACCTTTATGTTTTATTTATTCCACTTTGTTAAGTTTTTTTACATGCGTACAGCTTGCGATTCTTTAATTCAGTTTATGGTATGACACTATTTTTTTTTAACAGCATCATATAATTTTTACCGCTTCTCTGCATAGACATATTTTTTTGCAATAGGAAATGAATATACTTTTATGGGGTTATATAAAAAAATATCTAAAAACATTCTTGAAATATATTCACTAATAATACACAAACAAACAGCAAACTACGTAAAACAATTTTCAATACCAGGAAGTTACTCATTAGTTATCGAAAGAAATGAAAGAAATCAAGCAAGTTTGAGAATTGTCAATACATGTTGTTGTCCGATACCAAAAATTGTTTTACATAGTTAACCCTACATCAATTGATTTAGATTTCTTTCTTTTTGACTTTGAAAAGATATTTCTCTCCACATACTTTCACACAAACCAAACAAAATTTACATTGTCATAAGCAGACAATGCTGTTCTATAGTACAAAAAAATCAGTCCATTACCATATCAATGAAACTGATTGACAATAATGCCGGAAAGAAATTTGCATTTTTACACAGTAAAGTTGCACACTATACATTTACTATAGTCTCACTTTGTAGCGTCTACAAAAATTCATACTTACTTAATTACCGTATAAAGTAATTTTTTTTCTACTACAGTATTTTGAATATCAGAATAATTGCTGTCCATTTTTGCATGTATTAATTTGATGCGGAATAACATTTGTCCAAGTTTGTGAAAACAGGTACTGTGCACACTATCTGAATTATGGGTAATTGTAACTAACGATTTGTGCATACATTTACAACTATTCATATTCAGAACCATGGAGAAATGTTTGTGGCACATCACATTTTGTTAGGCTTTTAAGTTTTATGAGGAATTATCTATTTTGTGCAAAGCAGGTGGTGCAGAAAAGCATATTTTGTATAGTGGTTGTAGAAAAATTAAATTAAAAGGCACTATCATATGGCAAAAAACATTTAAATATTTTTGTTAAGAAAAGATGGTTTTAGAAAAATGTTACCTAAACTTATAAATTTTATAACTACATTTATATGTACTCTATTAAATTACAAAGTTTTAAGAGGTTTAGCTTAAGGAGGTTCAACAAAGAAAAAAAAATGGTAAGAAAGTTTTCAAAATCATTGAAATCTGTTAATATGCCAACTGTCTCGTGTAAAAATATCAGATCGATTGCCAATATAAACATAATTATAATTAAAGAATTAAATATTACTAAACGTTTTAAAACAATAAAAATATGCACTTACAACGTAATTATTGAGATAATGGAATGAATATATAACGTTATGACAAATTTGAACAAACATCTGATCCAAGGAAAGGAAATAAGGCAACACTGTACGCTGTATTTAACGCTTCGACTGACACGCTATATTTGAATAGCTCGATTATAGACTATAAAATTATTCCAGTCAAAAACATATATAGTAATAATTAATATTAAATAAATTTTTCGTGATCTAATGCAATATAATAGCAATTTGAAATAAAAATTGAAAGGATCTCTTTGCAAAACGAATAGTATAGATGTTCTATCATAATCTTCAATTTGACAAGGCGACGTCTCACTATCATACACTGAGCTTCTTGATAGTTATCATATGGATTCTCGATTTGTACATTTTACTTTTTTCTTATCAGGCCCACATTCTGTTTCATGCGAACTTTATATTGCTTTTCAGTCATTACTTTTCCTTTGTATCTTGGATGTTCATTCATGTTTATGGAATACGTGCAAAGCACAGTTGACAGTAATGACAGTTAACCCAACTTTTACCACCACGCCATGGCAATGTTACCAGATTTCATCCATAATTTTACAAGCTATACACGAAAAATATATGAAAGCTAATATGTGTTGTATAAATTTCATTCGTATATATTATATTTAGTTCGCTCAAATTAGTTTATGTAAGGTTGGTACTACAACAAAAGTACCGTGTATAAGCATAGGCTTCCCTCCCGCACCGCCTGCCCCGCAAGAGATGTATCGAACCTCCTTAAATAATAAGGGATATATGGAAAATAATTGTGCCATAACTGCCAGAAAAAATTTGGTCGTTCATTGATTGCCAAGTAATTTTTCTAACACTACAGTGTCATAATCAGGTGTTCACTACATTTTCAAATATTGCAATGAAATGCTGTGAAATATATTTTGAATATGAGTATGAAATCATTGGGGAACAGTTGCGATCTACTAGACTGTTTTAATTGTACCATATATGAATAAAAAGACAACTAAAACCTCATACGACTGTCATTTCATTATTTAGTAACAGAAATACAGAAAATATAACTTTTAAAATCAAATAAAAATGTATGTTAGAAGTTATTAATAAAATTACTTGTAGAGCAACTTTCATTATAGATCAGAATTTAGTTGCAAAACAGTATGCACTTTTTATGTAAAGACCACATTGCTTTAAGTTTAAATATAAATAAACCTTTTTTAACAACAAAAAGAAGTTCATATTTGGCAATATTGTCTAAAAGTATTTTGGGTTTATTTACTTTTGTTTTTAATTCACAATATGGAAAAAATACTAATAGGGTAGGACAAAACTTGGAAAAAGAGTACCCGTCGGTAAGTTACAAATTATTAAGGATACACTAAAACAATGGTTATACTTTCTAATAAAAGGTGAGGAGAGGAAGCATTACAATTAAAAATATGAGGTTATTGAAAAAAATACTTGGATTTATCATAAAAAATACATATTAAATATAAAACATATATTACCTCCTCTTCCCCAGGAATATATTCATCTCCTGAAGAATCTTCCTGCAATTCTTCTGTAAATAAAGCTTGAACCTCGGATGTAGGTTTCGATGTTGTCCACGGCATTGGAGCAATTGCTACCGATGACAAAAGTTCTCTGGAAATTTATATTTTAGTATAGAAGATAATAAGGTTATATGACATTTTAAAATTAACTAGTACCTATTTTCAATTTAGATGGTAACTTAATCATGTTCTCTGGGTAGACACACACAATATGATACATGATTTATACAATAATTGCAAAAAAAAAAAAATTAGTAAAAAACTATAATTTCAAAAAGCATTTCTAATTATTTTGCTAACAATATAAAATACTCTGAAATGACAAGTGGAAATTGGAAGTACTTAACTAAAATACCTATTAAGTAAAATTGATTGTTAAATGATATATATATATATATATACGGGCTTTCTTAATGATATGCAAATATTTAAGGGTATGATTGCTTTATAAACTAAGGTCCAAAAATGTTCCATTGCGAAAATACAGGGTGTTAAAATTTTAGGAAAAAGAAGGAAATTAATATTTTCTAAACCGCTTGAGATATTTCTATGAAATTTAGTACGTAGTGATAATTAATAAAGGTGCATGTTTTTCAGTACAAATATAATTTTTAGCTCTAACAGTGGCATGCGTACAAACACTGACTGATATTTTTAAAGAAAAAAATTGAACGCTAATGGTTTTTCTCCAAGTAAAATTATTTTTGAAATCCCCATTCAATTCGAAAGATAAGAGCTCTCTTGAGTTTTTTTTTCCTGCGATGCTATGTTTTTGAGTAAAATAAAACTTGCAGAATTATTAATAATTTAATAGCAAAAATTAAATACATTACAGGTTGGCACTTGCATGTAATGAACAACAACAATTAACGACATACACCAATAACATAACATTACAACTAATATCAAACTGTTGCTACAAAAATTGTTGAAAATTCCTTCACTTAATATGCACGCTTTCGCCCGTCATGGAATTTCGCACTCTATGAAATATTCCCGGAGTATTTTTTATTTTATCACATGCTGCAATTATTCTTTCTCTTAATTTCTCTACAGTATGAATGGGACTTGTGTGCACTAGCCTCTTAAGATGGCCCCATAAAAAGAAAGCTAAGCTATTGAAGTCGGGGGACCTTGGTGGCAATTCTTGAGGTCCACCGTAGCCAACAGTTCAACGAGTTGGATAAACAGTTTGTAAATAATTGCAAACATTACAGTGAAATGTGTTGGTGCATCATCGTGCATGTACCAGATTTGGTTTCTTATTGCTATCGGAACATCCTCAAGCAGCAAAGGCAATACTTCTTGAGGAAATTGTGGTAAGATTGTCCGTCAAGTTGTCCCAGCAGGAAAAATAGTCCAATAAAGTGGACACCAATGATTCCAGCCCATATGTTGACCATTCGTGTTGGAAATGGGTTTCCGTTATGGCAAGAGGATTTTCATTCTCCCACAAATGATTGTTGTGGAAATTTTGAATGGTATTTCTTGAAAAATTTACTTTGTCCATGAACAGAATGTGTGATTTAAATTACAAACATTATGAAGATAACACTGACAAAAGGTAACGCGTTTTGGAAAATCTCTAGAAAGTAATACCTGTACTCTTAAAATGTACTACAGATGTAACAAAAAATCCACTAAAATTATCCAAATAATTTGGTGGCAAATATTCAAATATCTAGCGATCTTCCTCATACTTGTTTCAGGATGTTCTTCGACTTCGTGTAGCACCGTTTCCTCAATTTCAAATGTCCTTACATTTCCAGGTCTACCTTCAGATGTACGTATTCAAACACTACCAGTTTCAACAAGACTACGATGAATATTAGAAAAATAATGCATTTGCACCATTTCAACATTTGAATAATTCACCATTATTAGAAAGATTGTAAAAATAAGATATTTACAGTAAAAACAGATTTGAACGACAGATACTTACTTCAAAATGTCAGAAGTGCAAGTGATACATTCCAGGCCAACTAGGTTTATTGCAAAATTGTATTTTTCAATAATTACATTAATTAATTACGGACAATACAAGGTTTTATTTTTTTACTCAAAAACGGCGCATTACAGGACAAAAACTCAAGAGTGCTCTGATCTTTCGAATTGAACGCGAATTTCAAAAATAATTTTATTGAGGAAAAAAACCATTGACGTACCATTTCTTTCTTTAAAAAGATCAGTCAGTGCTCGTACGCACACCACTGTTAGAGCTAAAAAATATGTTTATATTGAAAAACATGCATCTTTATTAATTATCACTACGTACTAAATTTCATAGAAATATCTCAAGCGGTTTAGAAAATATTAATTTCCTTATTTTTCCTAAAATTTTAACACCCCGTATTTTCGCAATGGAACATTTTTGGACCTTAGTTTATAAAGCAATCATACCCTTAAATATTTGCATATCATTAAGAAAGCCCGTATATATATATATATATATCATTTAACAATCAATTTTACTTAATAGGTATTTTAGTTAAGTACTTCCAATTTCCACTTGTCATTTCAGGGTATTTTATATTGTTAGCAAAATAATTAGAAATGCACCACTGTTAGAGCTAAAAAATATGTTTATATTGAAAAACATGCATCTTTATATTGCTACGTACTAAATATCACTGAAATATTTCAAGCAGTTTCAAAAAAATTAATTAATTTCCTTCTTTTTCCTAAAATGGTAACACCATGTATTTTCACAACGTAACATTTTTGGACCATAGTTTATAAAGCAAACTATCATTAATTTTCCAAGTTTCCATTTTCCTTAAATATTCGCATATCATTAAGGAACATCCTGTATAATAGATAATTTGATAGCTGGAAAAGCCAGCCCTTAGTGTACTATTTCATATGCAGAATATGAACCATGAACCATATATGAACCATATTTTAAAAATATAACAAGAATTAATATAATAAAATAAGTGACAGTAATAAGAAATATAAATATTATCCTAAATTGTCTCCCGTTATTGTCCGGTTGGATTGCATATAAAAAAATTAGGGGAATGGGAAGATATTAATGTTTTTTGTATTAGCATAAAAGTCTTTCAAGATTTTATATTCCTATTTTAAACTTAGAGTTCATCTGCACTAATTTAAGCAGCTACACTCAAATCCCACGTCTTGCGTAAGGGGTAGTTCTAGGGGAAGAGACACTATTACATTTCTCGGTAACTCTTTTGTAAATTTTGTAAACTTTTTGAAAAACATTTATTTCTAGACTTGTGTGGAAAAAAGGTATCTTTATTTAATATCTATTAATCCACTGTTAAAAAACTGTGGTAGGTGACGATGGACGTAGAGGCAAGGTCTATAACATGAAATAACAGGGTCCTTATGAGCAACAAAGGGCCAACTAAAGGATACTTCACTGAAGCTGGATGTCCTCTTAGACAAAATGCAGGAGATTATCTAATTTATCCTAAAAACCATAAAATAAAATAATTAGGTACCTACTATGATCAAAGAAATTTTTTTTATTTACAACTCATCTTCTGTAAAATTACGCCTGATATAAAATGAATGCTTGGGACAAAACAAGTGAAAAGAATACAGGATATGATAATTTCCTACTAGTATAAAAAATGTATATAGGGTAAGAACTTACTTACAACGAAATATATCCTGGACTAATTCATGCAGAAAAGCGTAACTTGAAACTTTTAGGTAGTTGAATTAAAAATCTATGCACACAGACGGTACACTGTATAATCAATAATTGGTGGTCTTTTCAGATACCATGAAAATGGAAAACTAAAATTAATTACACTACACCTTTGCTTTTCACTTAAATCAAAATCCATCCGTTTCTCCCAACCAGAGGTTATTTTCGCCTTTTTTTTATTGAGACCTAGAGAACACTTTCTGTGGATATAATTTCAATGGTTTTAGAAATAGTGTGTTGGTTGTCCATAGTATGGAGTACTTAAGGCAATATTATTAATAGCAGCAACCAGGAAAACTCGGTGTTGGTAAAATAGAAGATCACGTAAACTCACTCAGAAAAGAGAAGTAAAATATGACATAGAACAGAGGATAGTAGCATTTCAAAATGCTACAATACATGAGGATACATTTGTAGCATAGTAGTTAGCAAATTTTCAGAAAAGTATTTGAAAATAAAAATAGATTATCTTGAGCAAATTTTAAATTTATTCACAACTAAAGTATTTGTTTTAGAGAAATTATTAGAAATTAGAAAGTAGATAATATTAACGTTATGAAATTTATTATTATATGGCATGTAAACCTGAATTGTTTGAAAATGATTTGGTTTATCAAAATTAAGAAGAGTACCATTTATGTTAAATAGTCAATGTGTTAACATTTTTTAAAATGCAGTAAAGATAAAAAAATTGGGAATAAAATAGTAATAGTCCCCCGTTACAACTATTTGTATGATGAGACATGAATAATACTCTTGATAATACTACATAAATTTGTATTAAGATACTTTAAAACTAAATTGAAATATTGAAAAAATATATAAAATCTACCATCTCCCTTATTATTCTTTAAAGTACTAAAAAGTACTCCTGGAAATATCGGGAAACAATTTAGGACTACCTTTTATAATCAAGGTAAGCAGAAATGTAGAACACTTAAGGTTAAAAAAAGGATGATACCCTATAACTAATACATGTTAATCGATATTAATATGTAAAACTTATTTATTATGAATGAAAGTAAAAAAAACGTATTTCAGAAACAACATTTTAACGTAAGTATCTGTAAACATATCAATTTTATGAATAATATTAAAAATGTAAATAAAACAATATTTGTCCCATCGAGAATCTCATTGGACAAATATTTAATAATCTGTCTAAAAATTTTAAAAATTACTGATAAATATGTATATAAATGGGTTAATATAAACTGAAGATATTATCAATTAATCGATCTTTTGCATCCATAAACTTTAATTTAATCAAATTCGTAATTGACAAAAACAATTAAATTAAAAAACACATTTTGGTAGCCAGTAAGGGTGTGTGCATGCCAGTACTATTTAAAAATATTTTGAAGTCGAATAGGATCGATAGACCTCTCAAAATGAAGCCAATAACTTTACAGTAACCATAAAAAAGGTGCATAGGTACCTTCAGATTTTAGTAAATATAAAATTGTACTTACTTGGCTTTCGCTCTTGTTAGTTTAGGTTCATAGGGAATCGACTCATTACATCCGGTAGGGTTTTCTGCTTTCTTCACTAATGCTAAAACGTGTTCATTTGTAACTACATGTTTGATTATATTTTTAACATGTATTGCGTTCAACTTTGTTTTGGCTGCTTTTTCTTCTAGTCTTCTTTGAAGTTCATCTTCGATACTTTCGATTATCAATTTTTCAGATTCGGTCGGTTTTGGTGGTGTTTTACGTTTACTGTTTGGTGATTCTATTACAATTTTTAAGTTATCATCTGAATTATCTTCAGAATCTTCTTCAGCACTGATTTTATTTATATTATACATTCTCAGTTTCAATATTAAAGGGTTCGGAATCCAAAGAAAAATAACTGAAATAAAAATTAGCAATTCAGTTGTCACTTAATACCTAACCTAAAAAAACAACAAACGAACCAACTGAAAACGTGAAAACCACAAAACATATGTGAAAACTTAACTGTATTGCGCTTGCGCGTAAAAACTTAACCAATCATCGTATTTCCCTCGATTCTGTACATTTATGTGTAACGGCTACATTTTTTGAAAATTTCGCGAAATGTCGCTACATATAAATGTATTTAAAATAATTTTGACTTCAGGAGGCAGTACGGCTGAGAGAAAAATAAAGTAAAGAATCGAGAGAGTACAGCTCGATAATTGGCTGAATTAAATGTAGTGCGCTAGCCAAACTTCTGTAAAAGTCGCCTAATAAAATAATGTCGACGCTAAGCTTTAAACTTAGCGTCGACTAGACTCGCCGATTCGAATCGAATCGAATCGCAAAAATATGAATCTGCGTCGACCACTGAAGAGCCGCAACGCACCTAGCCGATTTTCCCGGGCGCATTGCTCGTTGAGCGAATTTTTGCGGCCACGCGTTTCGACTCGATTCGGCGCACCTTAGTCGACGCGGAGAAGCGATTGATGCATAGACGTGAAACGACGCGATAGACATGTGTTTTATAATTTCTTCGTATTCTTTGATTTTTTTTTTCTACTTTACTTTTTTCGAAATGAATGAGGAACTGTTAGTATCTGTGGTAGAGAAATATCCTGACCAACCATACGACTATTGACTGACCGATTCGACTCTCCTCAATTCGTCTCGATGAACGCACTTTTCAAAAAATGCTGCTCTATTCGACGCGCCTCGATTCCATTCGTTTCGGCTGTAGTCGACACAGAGCTTAATGGTCAAATTCAAACACGGTCCGTAAAAAAGACGGTCGAGTAATAGACAGAAATTATGGGCGTGGCTTACCTCATACTACGTCACAAAATTTCTAACCTTTAGGATTCATGTTTGTTTACATGCGACTTCACTATACTCGGTGGCCGAAATTATAAAGAGTGACTAATACATAATATAAAAACACTATTACCATAACGCGTATAAAATATAAAATGATTTCTATACGGTTCAATATTATTTATCTTTGTGCCGCTCGCCATGCACATCGGTAGAATCTATAATCGTGTATAGACTGAGTTACACTGAACGTCGATCTATATTTTATCTCTGTCTTTTGCACTTGGTAGGGAATAGGGAAATGCTTTTTTAGTGGGTGTAAACGGACTTGATTTGCCCGACCTGAGAAACGTCATAGCATAAGCGTAGACGAGGGGTCTAATTCCATGGCTATAATAAATTTATAAATTAAAAAAACACAACTGGGACGTTTTAAAATGCTGTAATAATTAAAATTGATCAAAGTGCAGGTTATAGCAAACCGTAAAAAATATTAGATGTTATGTTTTATTATGTTTTTTCAATATTTTCTATATCTTGTTGCCTTTTACGCAGACACGCCAATGGATTTTCGTTCCCGGCACGCTTCATCCCCCTTAGGTGTAGTGTTGCAATTTGCAATAATAATTTTTGATAGTGCTATACAAGAAAATTTAAAAACTTTATTTAATGTGTTTCCTAAAGATAAAAACTTAGAAAGATATGGGTGAAACGGTGCAAAAGACGATTTGATTAATTATATAACTGGACATATTTGTAGTACACATTTTGAAGACTCAAACTTTGAACGCGATCTTCAAGCAGAGCTATTAAGTTTATCATCAAGAAAAAGATTTAAAGAAAACAGGTTAAATGTTAAATTTTTAGTTTAACTGATTGTAAAAGGACTAAATTTATTGTTATTGTTGTATAACAAATTGATGTGATTGTTAGAAAAGCGACTGGAAATTTTAAGTATCTATCGAAATGTGATTTTAATATTTTTGTAAACTTAATTTTTCTTAAAATTAAATGTTATGTCAAAAGTTCTGTGCGATTAACTTTTCCTGTTCTTCCATTCCTTTTATTCCTCCATAGTCCATTTAACTCCGAACACCGAAAAAAACTCTTTCAAAGCTAAAAACTACTGTATAGTTTACTTGTAAAAACAGGAATTTTTTAATTCGGAACATCAACTGTAAAACTAGTTAGAAAGTACAAAAATAAATTATGTTGCAGCCTATTATAAAGTTATACTTCTCTAATCTAGGTATAAAGTATTTTGGTAAGTTATTTGAAATTTAAGGTTGTGTTCCGATATTATCCGAATTACCATTTCTGGTTTCACCGAGGTAACGGTTGGTAACTGAAAAGAAGGGAATAATGGACCCGCTTCGGTAGTGAAGAGAAAACAAAATTATTAAAACTAACTTAACCCTGCCTAATCTAACATTTTATTGTTTACAGGAAGTAGTGAGCGTGATGTTTTATGTATAGNAAAAGAAGGGAATAATGGACCCGCTTCGGTAGTGAAGAGAAAACAAAATTATTAAAACTAACTTAACCCTGCCTAATCTAACATTTTATTGTTTACAGGAAGTAGTGAGCGTGATGTTTTATGTATAGTTTTATTATAAAAAATAGGCATATCTATTCAATAGCTAGTACCTACAAAAAAATTGTTTAAAAAATGGATGTTGCACAAGCATTTATATTTTATAATAAATTTATTCTCATCTGATAGTTCAGATTCTGATGATAAGGTGTATTATTTCTTTCCTGGATCAATGGGTAAATAAATTCTAAAAACACAAACACTGTAAAGTAAACAAGTGCCACAAACCACAAGCGGTTACAAGTTTACCGATTAAAAACGCCGGTTACTTGTTTGACAGTTGGTTAACCAATTTCAGGTAATCACTGTTCCAAAATTATACAGATTTCAGGAAATGTCAAATAATGGAACGTTTAACCATGGTTTTGGTTAACCATGTTTGATATCGGAACACATTCTAACTAAAGACAAAAGCATATACAAAAATATCATATAAACATTTTATTTTGGAGCCAAGAGAATATTACGATAGGTGTAAATTGTTTATATATTCACTTCCCCTCTTCATTTTATTAGAGTTTATGGATATTAATAGATATCTAATAAAAGTAACACAAATTTTAGGTTAATTATGTAACCAAACGTCAAAAATGATGACCGATCGTGATGTGTATTCAAGACAATGTCACATTTCATGCTTTTATTTCCAAATTCCAATATAAAGGTTCAGTTTGTATATAAAGGTAACATTTTAGACTCAAAATACCTGTTAATTAACCATAATCATAACTGATTAAATTTATTATTTTATGTTAAAAGGAGCGTGGTATGTACAAGAAAAGTGACAATTTTAAATTTGCCTCTTATTTTCTTATGGGAAATGCAATGAGTTAGAAAGCGATGACGGTTGAACGAAGATAAACTGAGGTATTTCGTGACGTATTTGTTTTTTATTGGCTGATTGACTTATGCGGCGACCGTCTCTTTAACGGACCGTGAAATTCAAATGGAATAATGGAAATAGTCCACGATCTATAAGTATTAGACGTGGAAATCATCGATCTTATACAGGGTGTCCCAGAATAACGTGTACAACGGAGGACCACAGATGCGAGGACTCAAAATAGGCAGATCTAAGCTAATTCACCTATATCCGAAATCGCTTCGTTTGGCCGCTAGATGGTCTTAAAGTTCGTGAAAATTTTTTTAATTTTGTAAGTAACTCGAATACGTAGTAATCGATTTTGATTATTTTTGGGGTGTGAACTTTTGCTTTTAATCTACACATTTTGGTGTTATACAGAGTGTTTTTTAAAGCCTGCAACTTCTACAAAATTGATGTAGGTTGATAATATCCGTTCATAACTTTTTCTTCTTTCGGACAATAATGACAACTATTTTTTATTTGATAGGTGATTGGAAGTTTTTGGGCCTCTTGTAGAATTATGATTAAATGAGCGGTTTGGGTACAAAAAAATATTTTTTAAATATCTGCATTATCGTGCCACCCATATTATATTCAGGTTTTTGTCATTTGTCTCTTCTTGCATTCTAGAGGTTAGCGGAGGCGGGGGAGGTGAAGGCGTTGGGGTAGTCACCCAGGGTCGAAGAGTTGGTGTCTAGGTTGTTTGTGTTTGTCTGTCGCATTGGGCATGTAGTCGGCGGCTTGCCTGAGGAGGGGGTTGTCGTTTTTCGTGGCCGCGTCAAAGCGTTTTTCGGCGTTTTTTTTTTTCGTATTGTCTGGGTAGCATTTGTGTATTGTAAGTCGCGTAGAATGCCTGCGTTTCTTACGAACCAGGGCGAGGCGGTGGCAGTGCGAAGAGCTATGTTCTCCACAGCCTGGATTGACCTTAAATGGCTTTTTGCCGCGTGTCCCCGCGCCGTGTAGGCGTAGGTTAGCTACGGTTGAAGTACCACCTTGATAAGCGTTCGCTTATTCCTTAGGCTAAGGGTGTTGCTACCCTGGAGTAAGGGTGATTATTTTTAGAGAGAATATAATTAAAGAAATATTTTGTTATATATTTTATTTATTTCATAATAACAATAAATGAGGACATAATTTGCATCATGTACTAACATTGGCCAAGTTCCGAACGCTGATTACTGAACCTGCTAATACAGTCGTTCTGCTTTCCCTTAGTTCGGATTTCGTCGAATTCGGAGAACTTTTGGTCTTTGAAATTCGATTTTTCGAAGTGACGATGTAGACTTTGGAAACATCGGTGAAATTTGGCAGCGCGTCATCCTCGGTGTCTCCGTCGACAGTCAGTTCAGTGCGAACAGCCGAGCTGAGCGGACGTGTTTGTTTGTGAGGTGAAGGGATTGCAACGAGCAAAATCTACCTGCCTTTATTAAGGCTACCTGGAAAGAATCCCTTTCTTTCCTTTTAATCACCGACCTAATCCCCGGCTAAGCATAGAGGCCGTCGGCATCTTTGTT